CCCCGGTGCTGCCCCTGAATAACCCTGGCTGGGGATTGAGAGCTCTCCTCGGGCTCTTCTTCACCCCAGTCTCCTCTACAGACAAGAACGAACGCGCTGTTGATATCTTCCCCCCCAGAAAAAGTAAAGGAGGATGGATGAGCCACAGCAAGTCAATGGAAAATTCCCACCTATGCTGGAAGTGCAACTACATGTTGGCGATGTTTGACAATGATAGTCAGCATCCATAACGCCAAAGATACCAGACTGAACTGCTCCCCTGTCAGGTCAGTGGAAACTGGTCACATTGTAAAACTACTCAACTTTACTTTCTTACTATTCTTACTATTATGGACTTCATGCTGCAGGTTTTCAAAGATTTCATTCTATTGCATGCTTCATTTTTATGACTGTACAGTATAAATATGTTGAGCAATAGATGTATGACGTCGGAGTCTGCCAGCCCTTGCAAAACGGATTGTTTATGTTGATACAAAATGATTAATAGTTACACAAAATTCAAAGAAAGTATAATCAAACCTGCGTATTTGGGCTGCAGATAGAACAGTCGAGCAAAGGACAGCCTCTGCATCTCTCCCGGCGATAAAACATCATACCTACGTAAAGAAACAGGCACACAATAAACTCCAAACGTCACATCGCTGCTTACTCATTTCCACACCACAGACCTTTGTAGCAGTATTACCAGTTCCAGTCCACATTCTCATCCAGCCCTCCTGTCCTTTTCAAAAGGCCAGGCTGCGGAATAAAATAACTGTTAGTAGTAGTCAACTGGAACTAGTTAACAATTCGATTCAAATATTGACGATGCTATCAGGTCACTGGCACGTGCCAACTCACCACTCCAGCCAGCTCTAGAAAGCGAAGTATTCTTTCATCATCAGCAGAACCTGCAAAAGGTACCCATCAGGTAGACTGTTTATGAGCAGAAATATCAAAGTAGGAACAAACATTTCAAGTAGTTTCTGAGTCATTCATTTTCACGTCAGAAAGTAAATCTGGAGATATACAATGCAAACAGTCATTAAGTGCTAGAAGATACTATTTTGATCAGAATAATAAGCAATTATTATATACATTCCGTTCACACACATATAATACAAAATCATACAAACCTGTCACAGGGTATATCTTCTTCAAAGGATAGATGACCTGTTCAACAATAAAGAAATATCACAATTAACCAACTACACTAAACCTAAACATGAAATATGAACCACATTACTATTGCAGAGATCCCATTACATTTATTTTAAAAAATGAATGAACAAAAACGAAATGTTTACCTTTCCTAGAAATGTCAAGTTTCTATACGGTGTTTTTGGAAATGCTCAAATTCAGCAGGTCAGTAAACTACTCCACTACAGAGGGTGATAGTGTGCTTACCTACGACAAAAAATACGATTTATGTGTTTTAGAGTAATTGCTGTGGATCACAGGCCATTTTCAAAGTCTTGGAACACTCAAGCAACAGAATCTGACTTCTCTCAAGTTGATCATCACAAGGGGTTTAAAGAAAACAGATGTGTGGTGCAATTTCAAGCTGTTCATAGGGATGTGGGGTTCATTCAGCTCTGTACCTGCTCCCTCAGGGTTCCATCTGTCAGGTAGGGCTTCTGAGGTAGAAAAAGTATCCCATGGGGCCCAAAACATGCATTCATCTGAAGGTAGCCTGGAAAAGCCAGATATAAAGCTGGTTTGTGCCAATGAAAAACATATATGAATTGTCAAGCAGAGGAATAAAGAAAATGTCGACAGCTACAGTATGTTGATCATGGAATCGTGGAAAGAAGGTTTTCTTGCTCAAAAACCACGTAAACCAAAATCAGATCTTTACTGGTAAATCTTAAGTTCCAATAATGGCCATGGTAAAATCTCAAACCTTAACCTTAGCAATAATATGAAAATTAAAAGTTTTATTCTGATCCTAACTTTAGCTCCACTCCAACCTTTAACAGAAGAAAAAGCAGCAAAGGAATTTTGGATTAATGTCAAATTAAGGATTCAAACTGTATAGGCACAAATGTATTTTGGTGCTATATTGAAATTTTGTGAGAGTTTATATCTGGGATACATTTAGTTTAAGGTCTCTGAGGAGACACAAATTAGGTAAGATTAATCTAGATCTTATGCTCTGTTCATTTAAGGGTTAAAAAAAACATAACACAAAATGTTTAACAGTATTTAACAAGATCTGGAATCAGTGTATACATTTTTTAACCATCAGTATGAAAAGCAAATAATACCGTCAATATGAAAGGTAATCATTACAGACTCATGACAAGGGGACCAAGCTGAAAAAAAAAGTTTTCAATTTAAAAAAGAAAGCATTTCACGTTTTTGTTTCTGAGGAATGGGGTACCCACTGTAAGTACTGTTTTCATGTAATCCGACATAAAAAGAATGACTACAAATTCAGCAAAGCTCCTTTTTTCATCCAGCAAAGCAGAATTTGAAATCA